CTGAGGATCCCTCCACCCCGTGCGCGCCCAGGTGCAGAGCTTCCTGCGGGGCTGGCTGTGTCGCCGCAAGTGGAAGACCATCATCCAGGACTACATCCGCTCGCCCCACGCCGACAGCATGCGCAAGAGGAACCAGGTCGTGTTCAGCATGCTGGAGGCGGAGGCCGAGTACGTGCAGCAGCTGCACATCCTGGTCAACAACTTCCTGCGCCCCCTGCGCATGGCCGCCAGCTCCAAGAAGCCCCCCATCACTCACGACGACGTCAGCAGCATCTTCCTCAACAGGTGAGCACCCCCCGGGCGCCCCACCTCGGGGCCTGCACCGGCTGCACTGAGCCCAGCTTGGGCCCTCGCCCCCATCTAGTCTCCACCAGGTGCAGGCGAGGAAACTGAGGCCCCGGGAGGAAGGAAGGTGCCGAGGTCACGCGGCTGAAGTCACGCCAGCCCCCCAACAACGTGAGGCCCACACGGTGTATGTCTGAGTGCTGGTTCTGAGCAGGGCCATGTCATCCCCCCAGGACATTTGTCAATGTTTGGGGACATTTCTGGTTGTGAGGACTTGGCTGGGCTGGGGGGGAGGTTGCTGTTGGCATCTGGCGGGTAGAGACCAGGGATGCTGCTAAACATTCCACAGTGCCCGGGGACAGGCCCCCCCACAAAGGACTGTTCCACCCAAGACATCAGTGGTGCTTAGGGTTGTGCACCAAGCTACAAAAAGGCAACTAGGTCCCACTCTCCTGCTCGGATCCAGTCGCCATGACCCGGAGGCCAGGTTGGAATTGAGACTCCTCAGGCCCCTCTGAATGCTGCTCTGAACCCCACTATCCACACAGCTCATAAAGCGGTTACTTTTCCCGAATCGTGACCTGGGCGTGAACACGGGGCTGAGCTGCCCGCTGCAGAGCGGGGGAGGGGTCGTTCAGCCCAGAGGATGAGCTTACAGATGTGGACTAGCCCCCTTTCCCAACAGCCAGGCCAGGCGACACACGGACACACGCTGGGAACCACTCCCGCTTCCCAGCGCCACGAAAGGCATCCCGCCCGGGTGACAGATGGTGGGTGTCTGATTGATTGGCAGTGGCTGCTGGGAGCCCTGGACGGAGAAGAATGAAGCCTGGCAGGGAACACAGCAGTGTCACCTGGTCACCTGCCTGGGCTGGGAGCCAGGAGGGTGGGCGCTTCAACCCAGAGGGCGCTGAGCAGACTGTGGGGCGGGAGAGGAGAGGTTGGGCGCTGCCCTGCGTGCCCGGGACTGGCCTCGGGGAGGGTCAGGGCTCAGGGAGGGAACCAGGAAGATAAGCGCATCCCAGTGTGTCCCGTGGACGTCACTGCCCCTCCTGGAATGCTGGGCCCACCCGGCCCTCCTTCCGATGTCCATCTCCTGCTCTCTCTCCACCTCTTCCCTCGGGTGTCATGTCCCTGGTTGTTCGCTCCAGGGCCCCGCTGTAGCAGCGCCCACCACACCCGGATGATGATTTCGTTCGTGTCTGGGTCCCCATTAGAATATAATCACGTGCTGTGGACAGAGACAGGGACACCCATGAAGGACAGTTGTACCCATGTGCACTGCACTCCCACTCCCAGGGACCTGCCAACTTCTGTGAGGGCCCGACAGTCAGCATGTTAGGCCTCGTGAGCCACACGGTCTCCGTCAAAACTAAGCAGTCAGCCTGGCCGGTGTGGCTCAGCGGTTAGAGTGTCGACCCAAAATGCCAAGGTTGTGGGTTTGATCCCTGGTCAGGGCACATACAAGAATCAACTAATGATGCATGACTAAGTGGAACAACAAATCAATGTTTCTTTCTATTTAAATAAATTATTTAAGTATTTAAATAAATTTTAAAAAATAAAACAAGCAATCAGATAATCCATAAACTAATCGGCATGGCTGTCCCCACTCTGTTTACGGACACTAAAATGTGAATTTCACATAATTTTCACATATCAGGAAACATCCCTTTGATTTTTCCCCCCCAACCACTTAAAAATGTAAAAATTCTTCCAAGCTTACAGGCTGTACAAAGACAGGCAGCAGGCCAGCCTCCTGGACGGACAGATTCCATGTCATAAAGATGTGATTCCCACCCAAAACCTGGTATATGTTTCATACAATTCCAATCCAGGGCCGCCTCACAGAATGATGTCAGAGTTCAACTGAAGGAATAAATACTAACTATATAAGAATGATTGATAAGAAGACAAGAGAAACATTCCCTGCTTGTAATTAAAATGTAAAGCTTTGTAAGTATATTAACAGTAATGAAATAGACCAATAGAGCATAGAAGTAAAATGGTCCAGAAACAGGCTTAGGGATGTATGAGAATTCAGTAATATAAAAGGCAGCCTAGCCCGGCCGGTGTGGTTCAGTGGTTGAGAATCAACCCGTGAACCAGGAGGTCACAGGTTCGATTCCCGGTCAGGGCTCAGGCCCGGGCTGCGGGCTCGATCCCCAGCAGGGGGCACACAGGAGGCAGCAGGTCAGTGACTCTCACCATTGATGTTTCTCTCCCTCTCCCTTCCTCTCTCTAAAAATAAATAAAAACATTTTTTAAAAAAACACTGCTTTTTAAAAAATTAAATAAATAAAAGGCAGCTTAGCAAAAGCGGAGAGATAGCTGGTATATTTGACAAATGGAACTGGGCAGTTGGCTACCCAGTCTGGGGAACTGTCACGTTTATACCCTAATCACATCTTACACCAAAGCAAACTCTAGTTAAGTATTTACGTGTAAGATGAAACTATAAGACACCGGTGAGCGGGAGCCACGCCGCGGAGTGGGAGCCTCAGTGCCCCGAGCACGAAGCAGAAAGAAAATGGGAAAACTGCCCCAAACACCAGACACGCAATCAATGGGCAGATAGCTGAGCAAGAATGGCTATGAGTGTGTGTGTATAGGCCAGATAATGTGCTTAATCTAGGATACTATTTAAAATTAGAGAAAAAAATAGTAAGTGGACATGACTGACCAATTACAAAAAAAAGCAGAAATTCATGGGGTTTATTAGACAGGTAACAACAGTAATTTCTGGATAGTATGATGACAGGTGAGATCCTCAGTGTCTATCTGAAAAGGGGGAGGCTTCATGGACTCTATTTCTTATACTTCTAGCTTGTTATGTCCCTAAGCTGCTATCCTGCTCTGAGTGAGCTCCTGGTTCCTCCAGGATCCCTCGGGGCGCCTCCCCTCCCGGGCAGGGGACCCCAATGCTCTGCTGTCACCTCTAGAAACTCCTAGTCCATTCTCAACAGGGGTCTCAAGCATTCGTTCTGCTCTGGATCCTGCAAATTACACCGTCTGTTCCACTGAAGTGGTTTTCACAGCAGGTCTCACCTGAGACGGGTTTGCTGCTGGAGTCCCCCTGGGAGCCCCCGAGCTGTGTGCACCCGGGGGAGGAGCTCCCTGCCCTCCTCACCCTCCCTTTCTCTTGCAGCGAGACCATCATGTTCCTGCACCAGATCTTCTACCAGGGCCTGAAGGCCCGAATCTCCAGCTGGCCCACTCTGGTCCTTGGTGAGTCTCAGCCCCCTTGCGCCAGCCTCCACCCATGGAGTCCCTCTCTGGGGCCATCCTTCCAGGCTGGAGGCACATCGGTCCTTCCAGAGTGACACAAAGTGGCCCTTTAGAAACCCACAGAGAAGCCCTCAGAGGGAGCCCAGGAGGAAAGGCACGTTGGCAGAAAGCTCTGTCTCTAGGAGGAAGCGATATATTTTTAGTTCCTTATCTGCTTTTTTCCCTTTAAAAATAATATCTACGGACCCATTTGAGAAAACTTGAGAAACCAAAAAAAGTAGAAAACGTTTTAAAAATATCAACCGTAGTTCTGCCTCCCAAAGATACCACAGTAAACACTTGGGTGTTTTCTTCCAATTTTTCTCTGTGGTGCGTAGATCTCAAGGCTCTTTCTTTCCCCATTTTGCATAATTGAGGACACGCTGAATATAGAATCTGAATGTCGCTGCCGGCTTTTGAAACTGCCCGTTTTAGCGTGTTTTCTTGTGCCCGTTGACCGCGGTGCGATGCTCTGGTGCCCTCAAGCCCGGGGCTTGTCGGTGGAGGTTGGCATGGGGCCAGCCCACCCAGTCAAGAGGGCAGGGCTGGTTTGAGTGCCTGGGGCTGTGGGGACAGGGACACATGGCCGAGGGGACGGGTAAGGGACAGAGACTCGGCTGGCTGTGTCTCAGGGTAGGAAGACCTGGAACAGGGGTGTCAGGAGACCCAGATCCAGGCCACCTCCTGACCTGCCTGTGACCTTAGATAGGTTGCTGTCACAGGTGGGACACTGGCAGGGAGGCCTGTTGGAGAGCCGTTGGCATCACACCGTGGGGGACGGGCAGAGGGGAATGTGGCATTGATGCAGGCACTGCCAGGCCCTTGGCTGGCCCCATGGAAGCTGGGGGGCTGGGATGGCCCTTCAAGGATTCCCTAAGTGAGGGACTGGGTTGGCCTTTACGCCCCAACCTGGACCCTCCTTTGGGTGGGATGTGAGTCATGCGAGGCAGCCTCCTTCAGCCGAGAGCAGGCCGGGGAGGACCCAGCTGAGAGCCCTCAGCCACCCCGGCAGCTGGAGACGGCGAGCCTGGGTGCTGAAGGGGGTTGGGGGCACCCGCTACACCTCCTCTCGCTGACCCCCAGGGCACATGTCAGACTAGACAGGGCCCCAGCTCTCAACATCGGAGATTCTGGTGCAGTGCCAATGTCTGGGGCCACCTACCTGGCCAGAGACCCCGCCAAAAAGGCAGGGGCCTCTCCGGGGCGGGGGCGGGGGTGTCCGCTGACCCC